GGCTGTAATAATAATATTAATAACAATGCCCTCAGAAACCTGGCAGAGGCTAGAGTCCTGGGTGGGGTGGGTTGATGCTGTCACCCCCAGGCCTGGCTGCCCTGCCCCTACCTCTGCCGACCTACCAGAACCCCATGGCTCAGGGCCACAGCTGGCTCTGTCCCACTGTTCAGGGTAGCCTGGGGGACTCAAACTGAGGGCCCAGGGGGACCAGGGTAGTCTAGTGGACCCCAGAGATACTGTGGCCAGTGTGGACAGGAAAGCATGGGGCGAGGGCTGGAAAAGAATGCTGGGGGATGTGGGGGTACAAGGCAGTGCATGGGCTTAGCCCCTTACTTCTCTAGTACCCTCCTCCCCCAGTCCTGGCCCCAAACTACTACCTTTGGAGGAGCCAGAAGAAACCCTGTGACTACTGAATGTACCAGGGAGTTGAAAAGAGGTGCCTGCTTCCATGGGTCATCTGCCCTGTGGGCTGCATGCCTTTGTGGGCCACATGAGGCTGCTAGCTCCACTGTGAGCAGTGGCCCAATTCTGCTCCTGGGGGGTCCAATGGGTAGGTAGGGGTCCTGTTGAGGCCCAGGGCCAGAGCAGAGACACAAAGTAGAGACTGACATTTCTCCATTATCTCTTGGGCTCTGGCTATGGAGGGTCCTGGCCCTAGCAGGAGCCCAAGTCAGCCTGAGGACTCTGACCAGACTTCTCAGAGGAAAGTGGGGATGTCGGCCACAGCCCAGCTGTGGAGCTCCCATTGTGTGGAGCTGAGTATGTCTCTGGCTGGTGAGGCTGGTAGGCAACCAGGGGCCAGAAGTCCTGGCTTTGGAGAGCAGATGCATTGGCAGAGGGGACACGGGCACCCACCAGCAACACATCCAACCCCGGATGGACTGCAGGGCTATCCCCTGGCAGGGACGAGGGACAAGGAACAAGGCCCTGTGGTGCTGTATGAAAGAAGGGCAGGGCGTCCCTTCCTGACTTTGGGCCTCTCCCCAATTGAAGGGGTTGTGCTTCCAGAAGGTACAAAGAGGAGGTGGCCCACAGCAGGACAGTGGGGACTGGCATGGGCATCTTGGGGACCAAGGTGTGGGCAGGAGAGGGCTTGGCGGTTTGAGCTGCAGCCCAGCTGGAGCATGGAGCTCCAACCCCAAAGACCCTCACTCCCACTTGAGTTTAGAGACCCCAGTCTATGGGGCGTCCCTCAGCCCTGCTGCATGGCAGCTGCCCGTCCCTTTGGGAGAGGGTCCACTGGCTAAGACATCAAAGGCTCTTGAGTTCAAAGATGTCAGAGGGTAAAGGTCGCTGGGCCCAGCTGCCCTTTGTTTGACCTCAGACCCTAAAAGGGAAAAGGAGCTGAAGGGAGAAGAGGCCCCCTCCCTCTGATCTTTCCTCCTGGCTCTCAGTAAAGGGGAGAGGGATAAGGTCTCTGCTGGGCTTTCTGAAGCTGCAGCCTCCACACCAGCCCTCTCCCCCTCCCTGTTTTTGCAAAAGCATTGGAGAGCAAACACTGTCCCCCTCCTGCTCCCACCCCCAAAATAAACCGAAGAACGCTGGGCCAGCCCAGCGCAGCATGAGCAACGCAGAGCATAAATTCCTTGTTTTATGGTGGGAGGGGAAGGAAAGGGGAGAGAGAGAGAATTTTTATTATTTTCTCATTTTTTAAGGCTTTTTTTCGTGGGTACCACAGTCACTGTCCCAACTCTAGCCCAGTTCCTACCCTTGGTCCTAACAGAGAAGGGATGGAGGAGGGGGGAAAAGAGGATGGGGAGGAGGAGGGGAAGAGGAGGAGAGGAAAGGGGGAGGAAGGGTGTAATCGAAGTTGGCTGTTGGCCCAACCACCAACTTAAAACAATAAAGCAGAGGAAGTCCTGTAGGAAAGAGAAACAGGGCTAGGGGTGGGTGGGTAGGGGGGCAGGACTCAGAGGCCAGGGTGGCCCTTGGGAACCCAGCTCCCCTGTGGGGAAAGAGTCATCCTGTTCCAAGCACACATGGAGACAGGCTTTGGGAGCCAGGGAGCAGGGGCCCCAGCACGGCACGGGTCTTCTGGGCCAAACACAGACAGCAGTACAAGGCCCTGAATGGGACTTCAGTAGCACAGGGACACCCTTGGGGTGCCAGGCGCTGGCTGTGTCGTTGGGGGGGTCCCATGGTCAGGGCTATTTTCCTTGGTATGGGCCATGGGGCCTGACAGGTGGATGGGGAGGGGGCCCTTTCAAAGTGTAGGTCACTCTCTGTGGGCCCTCTATAGTGCGCAGCCTGCATGCCAGGTCACCTTGCAGCAGCCCCTCCCCCAGCCTCCCCAATGCACGCCAGAGGCCCTGTGAGATAGGGTCCGTGCCAGAATCCTTGCCACGTGGGTCCCCAGAGTTGCACCAGCACAGGACACAGCTGACTGCTGCTTGCTGGCTTCAGGGACCCTGCTTGTTCTGGTCTGGAGCTGGTACTCCCTGGCCTAACCCAGTGTCCCCCCTAGTCAGCCAGAGCTGCAGACCCCAAGCCAGCCCTCCCAGGTGCTCCCACCTCCAGGAGCCTGGCTCCTGTAGCAGTCAAAGGCTATGTGTGTTCTAGGAGCCCAGGGGGCCCGGCCACCCTCAAAGGCCCACCGGAGCCTTGGCAGACAGGACTGGGCTCCTAGCTCCATCAAGCTCCCCCAGGGCCTTGCCTCTGGCACAGCAGCCCAGTGCCGGGTGGTCAGGGCCACCATGGAGGGTGGGAGGTGCCCCTCTGCAGTCCATCTTCAAGGTACACAAAGACCTCTCACTCCCTGCCAGGCCACAGTTGGGTCCAGTACCCTCCATAGGGAGAGGGAGGGACAGGCCCCTGGACCCTGGACCCACTGCAAACTATTCCCAAGCCCACCCACCATGCAGTCCCTGTATGGCAAGACCAGGGACACTGGAGATGCACTTGGGCCTCCTGGGAAGGGGACGCCATCAGCGTGCCAGGAGGGAAAGTGATGTGCTAAAAAACAGAAAGGCAGGCCAAGCATGATGGGGAAACTGAGGCAGAGAAGCCTGTCACCATCTTTGTCTTCTTAGGCTACCATGTCGGAATACCACAGAGTGGCAGCTCGCACAGCAGAGATCCCGTCTCTTAGTCCTGCAGGCCAAAGGCAAGACCAAGCTGTCCGTGGCAGGGCCACTTTTTCTCTCCTTGGCTCCCAGAGGGCGTCTCCTCCCTGTGTCCTCATGTGGATGTCCCTCTGTGCGTGTCTGCATCCTCACTTCCTCTTCTCATAAGCACCCCAGTCCTATGGATTAGGGCCCACCATAGTGACCCCATCTTAACTGATCATATCTTAGAAAGCTTTTCTCCAAATGACTGCATTCTGAGATAGCAGGGGCCAGGGGACACAATTTAGCCACAGCACTCTCCAAGTGTCCTCATGGCAGGGAGGAGCAGGCTACAGCAGGGACATCTGCAAGTCACTGGGAAGTGGGGTAAAAAGGGCCACCCAGCCCACTGGCCTGGAAAGAGCAGCCCAGAGCCTGGTTGTAGGGCTGTAGGTGAGGGCTCATCTTCTTTGGGGGATCAGAGTGTAGCCACAGCCCGAGAGTGAGGCCCAGGGTGGTGGAGGCAGGGTCCTGTCTGGGAAGACCCGCCAGACAGTGGGAATAGAGTTGGGGCTGAACTGTTGGAAGCTACAGTGTGGAAAATGGCCTGGCCAGAGCCGGATATGAGAGGGACCCAGGAGAGGGGCCTGGTGGGGGCCTTGGAGCTGGAGCTGCACGTGCAGAGATGAAGCATCTACCCAAATCCTGCGGACCTTAGGGACCCAGACCCCTGACTCACAGCCACACCATGGGCCAAGTGGGGACTGGCCTGGGGGGGGGGGGACAGGCACCAGGGGCTGCCTCTGAAGTTTCAGAGTGTACACCGACAAAGCAACTCCCCAGCAGCCAGATCCCTGGCATGGCTGTGTCTCTGCCATTCCTGTGTGAGGCACAGAGGAGGGAAGTGAGTTAACACAGAAGCTTCCTCCAAGAAAGCTCATCAGAAAAGCCCAGATGGAAAAATCCACCTCCATGGAGCCCTTTGGAATTGGAAATGATTTCTTTCTGGAAATATGTAGTCTGAGGGTGAGATAAAGGACAGGATGTTCCTCAAGACAGGGACTTCGGGCTCCACACACCGTGTATCACCCCCAAGGGCCCCACCTGCACACCCCTCACCCTTCTCTCCTCACCTCCTCCTCCAGCCTATGCTAAGCCTTAGCTGCACAGCTTATGGGAAGGTCTCAGCAGGTATCAAGGCCCAGGTAGTGGTGAACCTGTGCTGCACCTTTCCCCCAGCCCCACCATGCCAGGCCAGGCCCTCTACCATCTCTACTGAGGGAGATTCACCCCCACACACTTCAACATGGCTCTGCCCCCACCCCGTTTATGGACAGAGAACTGTGCATGGGAGGAAAGAATGATTTATCCCCAAGGCCACATGTGCACCAGGGCAGGGCTGCCTTGTCCCAGCTCCCAGCCTCCCTACACAGGGTTGCACCTCTGCCCTCCTGACCTTTGGTGTGATTCTTCTCCCACCATATTCACCAGACTGCGGTTCAAACGATGCATGTGCGTTTCTGTGCTGTCACTATTTGGGGTGGTCCAGCCCTGAAGTGGGTACTGCTCTAGGTGGGTAGGGACCCAGACTCCTGCCATCTTGTGGCTCTGTGCTCCCAAAGCTGCTGAAAACCCTGTCCTTCCTGCCAGGGACAAAGAGGAGAGAGTGTGTGGACTCCTTCTGGAGATTTCTGTTGGCTAGACCCAGAAGCAGCACACTCCCTTGTGCTCATGACTAGTGGCCCAGACTCCACACACAGGGGTAGAGACTGGCCCACAGAGACTGGACCTGGCTGGGCCTGACCATGGCACCCACCTGCTGCCTTCAGGCTGCGGCTCCTGCCCCTCTCCCATCCCCAGAAGGCTGGCTTCCTGGTCTTTTTGGGTGAAGCTGACCCCACTTGCAGTCTGTAGATGTTCTTGGCCCACAGCTATGGGGTTTCCATAGGCACCATGTTCCCACACAGGTCAAAAGAAGACAAAGCCACTGTCTTCAGGGAGTTTCAGGTCCAGAGGGAGACAGGTAGGTGCCAAGCACAGGCCAGCCCAGACCCTGGCTCCCAGGCACCCTGCAGTGGCCCCAAACAGGGAAGGAGCTGGGCGGGGGTGGAGACAGGAGTGGAGCTGGGCCGAGGCTTCTAAGGCCCTCCCTCTGGCCTCTCCAGCTCCAAACCCCCCGACGTGCAGCCTCAGCCTTCAGGAATGTCCTGTCTGTAGTGGGAGCTGCCAAGGAGAATGGACAAGGCCCAGGAGCTGGGGCCCAGGCAGGTGGCCGGCAGCCCTGACACTTTCCTGGCCTAAATCTGCATCCCCCATGGACACTGCTGAGGAGGAGTCGGGGGCTTAGGCACTGGGGGTGGGAGAGCTTCCGGCCTCAGCCCATCTGCTCGGGCTCCCACTTGGAGGGCCTGTGTTGTTGAGACGTCTGAAATATTTGTTTTCTAAAGGATTAACTTCCAGATGATTCTAGAAGGGGTGGGAACAATCAACACGGCCAGAGGAAGGGGCCCTCAAATCTGGACCAGGAGGCGTCCTCTGGCCTTAGGAAGCTGGACTGTGCCCATTCCCCTCTTCAGGCATCTGTACATCCTCCCTTTTGCTTGTTCATTCAGCAAACCCCATATGAGTCCTACTGGGAGCTGGACCCAGCTGGGGCTGGGGTGCAACCATGCCTGTGCCCCTTCCTCCCCAGGTTCTGCTCTGCCCAGGCCCTGGCATTCCCGGCTCCTACCCCAAACATGGCCACTCTCGTGCACACACCTCGTGTTCTGGTGGTGGTCCCTGGGGAAAATGCCAGTTCCAGATGAAGGCTGGGCCACCTGTCTCATCAACCTACCCCTCCTCCTTGCCACCTGTCTCTTTCTGTCAGCCCTAGGGCTGCTGTTCCTGCTTTGGAGAGCTCCCCAGAGCCCATTGCTCTGGCCCAGCTCATGTTGGTGATAACACCCTAGATTCAAGGTGGTGGTGGTTCCAGGGATGGGGTGGATGGAGGTAGGGGCCAGTCCATTAGGTGGGGGATGAGGCCTGGAAACAGCTTGGTTTGTCCTTGATGGGAAGGGTCTGGCTCTGGTAGACTGTGAATGTCTGGGGAAAAGCAAAGGGGGTGGCCTGTGGGAGCTCTGGAGACAAGGCGGGATGTGTGGGTCTAGTTGTGCCCAGGTCAGCAGAGTCTGAATTGGGGCAGGGAGCCATCCAAGGATGTCAGGGCAGGAAGGTTTGGAGATGCAAGACCCCAGGGTTGGAAAGAGGAGTCCCCTGTAGGGGGACTGTAGGAACCATGACTGTGGAGAATAAGAAAGTCAGACAGAGAGAGAGACAGAGACAGAGAGACAGAAACTGAGGTAAGACAGGGTCATGTGTACATGAGAGTTGTTATCTTCCTCCTATTTTCTCTTAGGATCAAAACTCTCAATTGACATTTCATGATCCCTGAGGACACAGGTACCTGGCAGGATCCAGGCAGGGGTAGAGCCACACACTGTCACAGGGTAGGGCTCTGTTTCCAGGGCTCAGGCTTCTTCCACTGATTCTGGCTCTGGGCTTGGGCCTGTAGCCAGTAGGATAGGTGGTCAGGAAAGAAGGGCAGGGCCACCTAGACTTTACCAGGACACACAGAACCTGGTGGGCCATCTGGAGTGTATGGCAGTCTCTTGCCACTCTGTATTGGACCAAGTAGTGTCCCCTAGAGTTCATGTCCACTCAGAACCTGCAAACATGACCTTCCCAGGACAGAGGATCTTTGTAGATATAACCAAGATGAGGTCACCTTGAATTGAGGGGGACTTATAAGTCACCCCAAACCAGTCACTTATAATAAGAGAGACCCAGAAGTGTAGTGGCAGGGCCACATGAAGACAGTGATGGAGATCAAAGTGATATGGCCACATGCTAAGAATGCCTGACGCCCCAGGGGCCAGAAGTGACAAGGGAGGACCTTTCCCTGGAGGCTTTGGGGGGCATGTATGCCTCTGCTGACAGCCAGATTTTAGACTTCTGGTCTCCAGAACTGTGAGAGGACCCATTCCTGTTTTTAAAACCCCTGGTTTGTGATAACTGTCCGGCAGCCCCAAGAAATGAACATACCTCCTGCCAGGGGATTGCAGAGGGTGGCCAGAAGGAGCAGGTGCCCATCCTTAGGGAGCCGACCCAGAACTCAGAGGGTCTGAAGGAAGGGGCCCAGGTGCACACAGGCTAAGGAGGTAATGGGTGACGTTGCACATGGCCATCTATTTGCCCCCACCGTTCCGATCTCAGTAGTATAGGGCTGCCATAACAAAGCCAACAGGCTGGATGGCCTAACAAGGAACATTTCTGTTCTTAGAATTGTGAAGGCTAGAAGTCTGAGGTCACGTGTTGGCAGGGTTTGTTCCTTCTGAGGCCCCTCTTCTAAGAGAGAAGACAGCTGTGTCTCCTCCCTATGTCCTCACATGGCTGTCCTTCTGTGCCTGTGTCCTAATCACCTCTTTTCCTAAGGACACCAGTGCTATGGGGTTAGGGCCCACCCTTGTGACCTCATTTCAGGTGCCTCTCCTTTGGTTACCCTGCATCTAGGTCTCAGCTACCAACAGGTGCCCATGTACCAGCTCCAGAATGAGCCCACAGGTGAGAGGGGGTTGTAGCAGCTGCAACATGGAAGCCACAAGGAGGGGCCTGAGCAGGACCAGAGCTGGCTTTCCTCTCTGAAAGTCATGAGGGTTGATACCCCAACTGCCTTGTCAGATCCCAGTCAGGGCCCAGACTCATCTGCCTCATTGCTGTGCCCTACACAGGCTTCCTCTTGAAGCTTATTCTGGGTTGATGCATCTCCAGAAAAGCTGCGTTGCCTTCCTGTCCCCACTCCTCAGAGCCTAGCCTTATCTGGACATAAATAGTGTCATTACAGATGAAATTGACAAGGTCAACCTGGAGTAGAGTAGGCCCTTAATCCAATACAAGGTCTGACAATTAGATTTGTGAACTCATCCTAGAAAAAGTGCAACATACCTCGTTGTTGAATATCACTACAGTTACCTTTGAAGTACCCTCCTTGGGAAGCTATGCATTCATTCCAATGCCTAGTCCACCCTTAAAAGACATTTTGGAACTCTTTCTCTGAAGTGGCCACCAGAGCTATCATCATATGGCATACAAGAGCATGCACCAAAATAATGAATGCCATGCAATAAGACACCTCCACAAGTTAACATGAGCACAGCTGTGAGACACTGATATACCAAGATTATGGAAACTTACTGAGTTGTTTGTACAGTGCTGCCCATGTAAGTGTAGGTGGCAAGTTCTTGAACTTAATTGTCACACAATGACAGCTCTGATAGCTATTCTAGAAAGTTTCAAATTGCTCTGAAGAGTGGACTAGGCACTGGCTTCAGTGCATGGCTTCCCAAAGGGAGTACTTCTAAGATGACTGTAGTGATATTTAGCAATGAAGTATTTAGCACTTTTCCTAGGATGAGTTCAGGAACTTAATTGTCAGACCTCATATGAGTGATATTCTAACAAGTAGAGGAGAGAAACAAAGAGAAGAGTGCAATGAGGAGGCAGATACAAGGGAGAACACTGGGTGAAAATACAGTATCAGAACACAGAAGTGAGGTGACATGTCTATAGGCCAAGGAGCATTAGGAATGTTAGCCAATACCAGAGCTAATGGGGCCTAAGAGATGGACAAGGACAGATGGGCCCCCAGAGCTCCAAGAGGACCAATGCTTTCCACATTGTAACTTTGGCCTCCTAGCATCAGGTGCAGAGAGAGGGAAACTCTAACTGTCCTGGACCCATTTAGTAATAGTTAGTTATGACAAACCTAAAGAACCAGTTCAAAGCCCAAGATGACCACCCTCCCTACCACTGAGCAGATGCCAGCCACAGGGGAGGGGGAGAAGAACCCACTGTCCTGGCTGGTAACAGCACTGTGTCCACATTGATCCAGGTGTCAGCACTGTACCCCAATCCCCATCCAGGGGACAGCACTGTGCCCACATTCTGTCAGATGACAGTACTATACCCACCTCCTATCCAGGGAACAGCACTGTGCCCACCTCCCATCCAGGGGACAGCACTGTGCCCACATCCCCACTCCAGGGGATGTGTCTCCACTTGGTTTCAGTACTGTACCCGCATCCTGTCTAGGTTACAGCACTGTGCCAATGTTCCCACCCAGGCAATCAGCACTGTGCCCAAGTGACCAGTACTTTTCTCATTTCCCTATCCATGTGACAGAAATGTGCTCTTGTTCTATCTAGGTGACATCCCTCTACACATGCCTCACCCATCAGAGCCACCCATACTTGACCATGGGATCCTTCCTTACTGAACTGTAATGGCGTCCCTGGCTGTGCTACACAGGCTTCCAGGAAGCCATTGCCAGCTCATCAGAGAATCTGGAAGACCAGCTGGATTGCCACTTCTGTTCCCTGCCATCTCCATTTGTAATTGGGATCATCTTTTAAAATGCCACCTGTGTGCTCTAAGGTGGACATTTTCTCAACACCTTATCCAATCGCTGTGTGTCATGAGACCCTCACTGCCCATCCCAAAACCTATAGGGGGAGCTAGGAAGTGCCTGAGCCAGATGCTAGCACTCCACTCTAGCTCCAAATTCCAGTGCCACTCCCTAGGGTCCTGTGCTGAAGCTTCTCATCGCCTGGGAAGATAGAAAGTCCCCTGAGTACACACCTATTTAGCTGACCCACCTGGCTCCACCCCTGGCACATACTCGGGGATGCTGTCACGACATCTGTCATTCTTTCTCAAACTGGCCATTGGGTCTGAACCCTCCTTGGGCATGAGCATCAGGAAGTAGACCTGGGAGGCTCAGCACCAAGATAGGGACAATGAATGGAGCTGCCAGCTGGCCATGCTCTTCTGTAGACTCTAAGCTGGCAGCACCCTGGGGTGGTTTTGCTCCATGTAGGAGGCTGTCTATGGCCCCATGCCAACCCTGTCTCAGACTCCAACAAGCTTCCCATCTTGCTTCTGGCAGTGTATTAGTGATGCGGACAGAAGCTGCAGAAAGGTACCAGTCAAGGTTGGCCCAGCCCAGGTGGAGATGTCCATAGCAGAGAAGAGCCACAGAGTGGAAAGAGTCCAGGAAAGAAAGACAGTCTGTCCAGAACAAACCATCTCCTACAAAAATGGCCAGGGCGGCAAGTCACCCTGCAGGGCACCTTGGCTGAGGACCTGACTATGCTCATGTTGGTGCCGCCCTTTGTGTGGATCACAGCACCTACGCACCCCCAGTACTGTAAATTGCACATACTGGATCTAATCCTAAGGGTCTCCAATGCACAGTCCACTGTGCAAAGCCTAGGCAGTTTCTCTTGGTTGGTAAGCCAGGAGGCAGATTACCTGCAAGTTCCTGCTGTGCCATCCTATAAGGAGGGAAATACTCTATGAGGAAGCAGGTAGTCCCAGGGGTCTGCCTGCTTTCAGGCAAAATCCCCTGAATTCTTCTCAGGGAATCCGGGAATAGAAGAGATGGCCAGCCATCAAACCTCAGGAGAAGGACCAAGTATCCTGGCACTGTGGCTAACTGATTGGGTGGCAACAATTCTAAAAGGAAAGGCTTGAGTCTACCTGAAGTCCACAACTGGGTGCCCAATCCCAGGAATAGCAGTGCTGACTACATCTCTGTCACCTAGGACAAGGAAAGGGTGACAGTGGATGCTTGGAGGCAGTGAGAGATCTCCATTACCAGGGGCAGTCAATGACTTGAGCCCTTCCCCTAGATGCAGACGTTTCCCACAGGCCCTCCAACTGGAACAAGAATCCTGGGAACCAGCAAAGTGGAGGGCACAAGTATTTTTGGAGTTTTCCCCTTTGATCTTGGGTGCCAACCTCAATGAGCCCATTTTGTTGCCAGGACGCAGCAGAATCAGCTGTGGGTGTGGAGACAAAAGTGGCCACGAGGCGGCAGTGTAGATGCACATGCCACAGCTCAGAGACAGACAAAGCTGGAGTTCACCCGCGGCAACATCCCGGATCAGCCAGGCCACATACCGCAGTGATCCATGAGGGTCATCGGAGGATAGCATGCTCATGGGAACTCCTCCAACCACCCGTCTGATTCACCCCAGGGTGCATTGTTGAAGGTGGACGGGGACAGTGAGAAGAAATACTTAGGGAATGATGAGGGGGCTCTCATTACTTGGATGATAGGGATGTTGGCCCAGAAGAAGAACCTTCACTCAGGGTCTATGGCAGGCACAGAGCCTGGGGGCTACCTTGCCTAGCACGTGGGCATTACTGGAATCTTCCCCTTAAATCTCGAACTCCAAAACCAACAAGTCTATCTCACCCCAGGATGGTGCAGACTCGGCTGTGGGCATAGAGATGGAAGTGGCCGCGAGGTGGCAGCACAGACACACACACCACAGCTCACAGACTGCCGGGGCTAGGGGTTCGCCCGTGGCGGCGTCCCGGGTCACCCAGACCACGCGCCGCAGTGGTTCACGAGGGTCATCGGGGAATTGGATGCTCGGGTGAGCCACTCCAGGCCTTCAGGTTTGGCGTATCCATAGCCCAGTGGCTACGGGTATCCCTCCGAGGACTTTAGTGTCATGGTG